CCTCCTGAGTAGTTGGGATTACAGGCATGTGGCACTACGCCTGGCTAATTTTTTTGTATTTTTAGTAGAGACGGGGTTTCACCGTGTTAGCCAGGATCGTCTAGATCTCCTGACCTCGTAATCTGCCCATCTTGGCCTCCCAAAGTGCTGGGGTTACAGACATGAGCCACTATGCCCGGCCCCATCATCTAGGTTTTAAGCCCCACATGCATTAGCTATTTGTCCTAATGCTCTTCCACCCCTCGGCCTGCGCCACCCTCCCTCCCCGCGCCCGACTGGCCCCGGTATGTGATGTTCCCTTGCTTGTGTCCCTGTGTTCTCATTGTTCAACTCCCACTTATGAGTGAACATGGTATTGTGCTTTATCCACAGGGATCATCCTATCATCATGGGCTTGTCAATAGTTGGATAATCTTTCAAAGTTCCCATTAACTGTACTTTTAAAGATGTTTAGTTAAATTCTGTGGAAAGTGGAAATTAATCTAGTCAAGCATATTCTTAACTTTCAATCACTCCAGAAAAACATTACACAATGAAAGAATCCCTACCACATGCTATGATAAGCTATACAAAGGGAACAATTGGCTTTTTCTTCTTAGTTATAATGGCCTAGCAGGAAAGGCCCTTAGCATTGTTATTTTCTGTGTAGTTGTTTCTTCTGTAGCATACTGTATGTAAAAGTTAAGCATTAATACCACTTGGGACTTTTACAGTGCATTTAATGGGCTCAGCATGTCTTAGAGCCAGTCTCTGAGAGCTGCAGTATCTCAACAGCACTCCTAATGGCAGGCTACTCTTTTTCTATTATATTAAAGACAGAAGGTGAAGGGAGAGAGAGGGTAAGTGGCTTATAAATGATTATCCGAGAGGAGCTAGACTGAATACTTGGACTGCATTTTGACAGTTAGTCCAGACATTCAATCACAGCTTTTGGATCATTATGGATGTCTATGATAGTAATAACTTCACAGTAATAGTCATTGATAATGTAGAGAGTTTAATGGTACTTCTGCTTATAATGCTTCCAGAAGTTCTCAGTACTTAAAACATAAGGAAAGTTACTTATTACTGTCATTATTATTATGTACACATTAACAATGATAATGACCTGCACTTGGGTAAAGGCTGTACTTTAGACTTTAGAATTCAACTATTATATTAATACTCAACTAAGTACTAAGCAGAAATAAGATTTCAATAAATATTTATGGATTTTTTTTCAAAAAGCTTCTAAAGTAAGTATTAGCTCACTTGATTTCACAACAGCTTTGGGAGAAAGACTGGGTGGGTGTCATTATGCTCATTTTCTGTGAATTGGATGAAGACTAATCAAATGGGCATGGTCTTGTAGTCATAGGAAAACTTGGGTCCTTAGTCTGGTTTTGCTCTTAATAGCTATGTGATGTTGGGAAAATTACTTGACCTCTCTAAGCCTCAGTTTGTTTCAGCAGAAAAATAGGGATATTACCATCAAACAGCTATTTTTAGGAATAAACGAGATTATCCATGAATGTCTCTAGCTCAATGTTACCAATCAGGATCCTGCACTTAATAAAAGACAAAAATGGGATAAGCGGTCATGTCGCTTGACTTTAGGCCAGTTGCCCTTTGCATTAAGTCAGATTTAAGGCAATAATTTGCTAGTCATTGTATCATGAGCCATGGCCCAAACACTTGACAGACTTTGAAGATTTGTTATTGCTTTGCCTTATGGAAGCCTAGAAAGTCATGATCATAAAACAATTAATATTTCTGCTGATCTGGAAAAAATGTCACTTGAATTGAGACGGATGTTCCTTTTTAAATTTTTTTCCGTTGTGGGCGGAGTGTGGTTGAGGTGTTTTTTAAGATGGCACTTTTTAGATATCATTTCAGCTTAATATTCCGTATTCCTCTTGTGGCCAGAAATACTCAGCAACTCCTTAACTTTAACTCTGACATATTATCAATGTGTCAAGATGGAAACCAGTTGCTGCTGAATCTCTGGCTCAAGAGGTCATTAAGTAGATGCTAGAAGCAGAAGCCAGGCTTCTGAGACAGATGCTGGGCAGGGGATCCTTAAACCACTGAATGAACATAGGATGGCTGGGTTAGGTAGCTTGGAGGTAGTGGTGAAGGAAGAGCTTTATATAGTCATTACTGTTGAGGTCACCTCCATCCCTGAAGTTGCATGAAAGTTTATGAGCTTTCCTAGGTTTTTGTTCTTTTGATGCTTAGACAGGCTTCTCTACTCTAGATTGAAGTCTCATGCATTTTCCACTAACTTAGAAAAACAGTATGGCACTGGTTTCTGATGAGCTGTGTAATGTTACGTAGATCACTTAGTCTCTCTGTGTCCTTTTCTCAATGGTATAATAGTATAATAGAAGTTGAGAAGATCAGTCGTGTTGACGTGTTTTGATGCTTTGAAAATTTAAAGTGCTAGACAACACTGGCTTGTAAAATAACTGATTACTAGCAGAAAGAGAAGGTTTATAGTGACTTATTTTTCAAATGCTCTATGACTCTTCTATAGTGCTTGATAGACTGACTCTAGGCTCAGCTTTGTGCCTATCTAAAAAAAAAAGTATATAATGCTATACTGATTCATTCTTCTCATTGCCTAGGATTACATTAGAAAATAAGCTCCATGAAGGCAAGTATTTTTGTATGCTTTATTCACAGATGTGTCTAAAGTGCTTATGACATTATCAGACATGCAATAGGTGCTCAGTGAATATTTGTCAAATGACCAGATAATTTGAAGGAAGGAGGCACAGGCATCTACTGTTGTTCACCTTTTGACTGAGTGTGTGTGGGTGCACACACGTGTGCGCCTGTGCACATGCATATGTGCTGAGGTGGGCATGATAATAAGTATATATCGTTACATATATTCTATCTCACTTTAAATGGTAAAGTTTTCATCTCTTGATTTCCAGTATTGGGTCAGGTAGCATCTGCTTAAAGCAGGTAGCATCTGCTTAAAGCATCTTCCTGACATTTTAATTCAAGTTACAATTCAAATCCCACTAGTTCTGGTTGCCCCTGGATCAACACATTAGTACACTCAGCTTAATGATACCCTACCAAGCTTCCTGAAAGTCTTACAGAGATACACAATTACCAAAACCCACCTAGGAGGCCTGCACATAGAAGGAATCACTAATGGGATTTGAGAGACAGTGTTGACAACACAATCAGTCTTTAAACAAAGAGTTTCTGTTGGAGCTAAAATCCAGTCAGAGAGGCAGGAGGTGATTTTATGGTTTATACAAATCCACAAGAGCATCAGTAATAATTTGAGGCTGACCGAAACATTCAATGTCCAGTTTCTCTTGAGTCCTGGAAAGACATTGCCTGGATTTATCTAGGCAAGTAGACTGGGTCAAATGGGATCCATGAGTGTGTCATCAATAATATTTACTTATCTGTTATTTAAGGAATTTTAATGAAAACCAAGTCAGATGAAGTGAACTGTTTCTAATCTGATTTCTATGCATCAAGCTAAGCTCTCCTCTACTAAACGAAAGCCCAGGGAATCTAACAAAAACCAAATAAGTAGTGATCAGTAAAGTGTAAGGAAACTGCAGTCTGCAGGGTCTGTGGCAACTGCTAATTTCTTTGGCGCTCTTGATTCTCACTTGCCTCAAGACACAGAGAGCCGTTATGTCCACAGGAGAAAAAACAACTGATGGAGTGCTCTCTCTCCTTCGGTTAGAAGGAATAACATCTCAAGACTGGACTTGTCCTTGAAAGGTTTGAGTATCCCTTTAATTTCGTAGAATCATTTTCTTCTCCACATTACTAAACCCAACATTTTGTACAAGTAAATCCGGAATCATTTTAGCATGGCTTGAAGTCTTAAAATCACAGACTGCACTACTGTGATGTTCTCTCAGCTGCTTGGAAAGGAAGGCTCTGTCAACTACTATTACTATTAATTTTTCTCTTTGTTTAATATTTTAGCAAAGTAATACATTCCCATGGTAAAAATCCGAGTAGAATAGAAGGACTCGTAATGAAACATAGCAGTTCCTCACTTATCTTGTGTTCAGTTAGTTTTCTGGAGACAGTAGGCTTTTCTGCCATTCTGTTCTTTCCTCTCACTGTATGATTTTACTTTTTCTTGATCAATCAAATTCTATTAATTCTATGCTAAGAAAGAGTTTAGTTCATTTAAGGTACTCTCTATCAATATTTATGCCTGATATTTGACTTATTAGTTATCATTGCACTGTTAATATAATAAACTGAAACCTGTGTTTCTTCACGTCTTATTTATTCAATATCTCTTGCCTTCCTGCTCTGTGAGATTAAAATATTAACACCTTGCCTTATTTGCTGTCCCCTATCCTCATTGCCAGCTTCTGTCTTCCATCAGTTCCAAATTTACTTCAAAAGAGTAGCTTTTACAATTCTCACCATAAAGAAATAATAAGCATGTGAAGTGATGGATGTTTTAACTAGCCTGATGTACTCAGTTCACAGTGTATATATGTATTAAAACATGACATTGTACCTCTCAAATATATACAATTATTATTTGTCAATTAAAAATGTGAAAAAACCACCCCCCCACCCAAAAACCAAACAAAAAGTGTCAAGGTTGATCACATTTACATTCAGCTTTATAACGTTGATTCAGTTTTATATGTTTTACTGATAGGTAATATCCAAAAATTGAAAACCAATAAGTGTTTATGGCATTATTATATTAGTTAAATGCATCCTGCGTAGATTAGTAGTGTGCTATGATTACTGTTCTTTCCTGGCTTCACAATCACTCTTCAAACTAGCATACTGAAGGGGTCTTCATGACCTAAAACAACAAATAGATTGATTTTCAAATGATTGGTTTTTTTTTAATTGATTACCAAAGTAATGTTTATTTTAGATACAAAAATGTAAAGAAGAAACATCTAAAGAACAATTAAAAAAAAAACCACAACACAATGGTATGTCAAAATTTCATCATGGGTTATTTCCAAATTTGATTCTCTTCTCCATTGAAATGGCAGGTTGAAGACTCAGATTGACCCCTCCAATACTGCAGGAAAGTGGTGAGTGCTCTCGGTGACCACAGACATAAATTAATGAGGCCACGTTTCCAAACCTTGCAACCCACCCCTTTATCCTAGTCTATAATTTATTGGAAAGATAAAGAACATTTGATTGAACCCATAAACACCCTTGATCATCATATTAGCATTTTCTTGCGTCTTTCTATAATTTCTTCCCCTTTCTTTTTGTTGGAGAGGAAGAGTGCAACTCTTCCTTTGCCTTGCCAGGAATTACAAAGGGTATCTTCCTAACATTTCATATTTGAAGAGTGAAAGGGCACATATTTAGTCATTCACTTGGGACAACAGGAATAAACTGGGTTGTATGATCACCTGAGATTAACTTCTCTTTTGAAGAGGAAACACTTCCAATAGAAAACTGTTGCTCTTCAGTCTCACTCTTTTTTAAAGAAGAGTCTGTTATCCCAGGTGGCGTAATAAGCCACCCATACATCTGGTTTCCACCTTCCCGAATTTACTTCCTTGAGAGTCAAGAGCAGCCTCTTAGGATGTAAGCACAACAGCTCTTTCCATTACTCACTCACTCACTCACTCACTCACTCACTCACTCACTCACTTCTCTGCATCATCTATCGTTGTTACCTATAGCTTCTTCCTCAAGGTCCTTCCCTTTGTTTCTAACATTGTGCTCTTCTGACTCTTCTATTTTGAATAGCCTCTTCCATCTTTTGTTCTTTTTGTAATTGCTACTACTTTTTTGTAATCTACTACTGTAATCTTTGTGTAATCTACTACTCATTCTGCTCCCTTCTGACTCTGGGCAATGTAGTTTTGCTGTAAAATGCTCTCTTGCTCTGCCTTCCTCTTGTTTTGGTTTCCCTTCAGGAAGTACATGGTTCAACCCTGAGCTCTATGTAGTTAACCCCAAATCTGTGTGTCAGCCCTGACTATTGTTAATATGTTTTTCCTTTTTAGTTGGTACACATAATAACTGTACATATTTACGAGATACAGAGTGATATTTTGATACACAAATACAATGTATAAGGATCACATCAGGGTAATTAGCATACTCATCACCTCAAACATTTATCATTCCTTTGTGTTGTGAACATTAAACAATTTCTTTTCTAGTTTTTTAAAGCATATAATAAATGATCATTAACCATGTTTACCCTACAGTGTTATAGAATGCTACAACTTATTCCTTCTATCTAACTGTAATTTTGTATTGTTACCCAGTCTCTCTCCATCCTCGTCTCCCCCTTACATTTCCCAGCCTCTAATAACCACAATTCTATTCTCTACTTCTATGAGCTCATATTTTTGTAGTTTCCACATATGAATGAGAACATGCAGTTTTATCTTTCTGTGTCTTGCTTATTTCACTCAACAAAATGTCCTCCAGACCCATCCATATTGCCACAAATGACAGGATTTCATTCTTTTTTATGGCTGAATAGTATTCTATTGTGTACATGTTCCACATTTTCCTTATCTATTCATTTATTGATGAACATTTAGGTTGATTTTTTATATTTGCTATTGTGAATAATGCTGCAATAAATACTGAGGTGCAGGTATCTCTTTAATATAGTGATTTCCTTTTCTGCTTCTACTGAATATTAGCAGCTATTTTTGGATATCCCCATTTGGAGATTCATCTGACTCCTGAGAAAAAAGTGGCCTAAACTATATTAATTCTCTTTTCTTTTCTTCCTAGAATTATTCTAGCGTTTGTGTTACGTGGTTCAACACTCAACTGTTCTTTACACCTTCCCCTGGCATTCCTCCTTCAGTGAATTTTTTAGTCCTGTTCTATTTCCTAATATTTGATGTTCTTTCTTCTTCTCTCCATGTCCACTGCTGCTTTGCTTTCCTAGTTCTGATTCTAGTAAAAATTCTCCTATGAAAAGCTAATAAAGATACAGGAAAAAAAACTAAACACGTGTTTTTCCATCCCTCACACTCCACTCAACAGAACACTTCTGATATCAGATGTGTAGGGGTTTTTCCCCACACACCAACCAAGCAATTATCCAGTAGACCCCAGTTGACATCATCTACTAATTCAATTCAATTCTGACACTATATACCTGGAGACAGTATCAGATCCCATAGGCTGAGCACTCAGATCCATGACTTCTCCCCACTTCAGATGCCAGTCACAAGCACAGGCTGTGACCTGCTTCTGACCAATTGGCTATAAATCAGGAGTTCCCATGATACCTTCCTTGGGTTTGATCAGTCTGCTAGAGTGACTTACAGAACTTGGAAACAGTTTGCTTATGTTTACTCATTTATTATAAAGGACATTACAAAGGATACAGATGAACAGCCAGATGGAAGAGCTGCATAGGGCAAGGCATGTGGAAAGGGGCATGGAGCTTCCCTGCCCTATCCAGGCATGCCAATCTCCAGACACCTACACAAGTGAGCTCAATGATCTGGAAGTCCTCTGAATCCTGATCTTTTGGGGTTTTTTAACATTTGTTTTTATTTTATTTTATTTTTTTGAGACAAAGTCTCACTGTCTCCCAGGCTGGAGTGCAGTGGTGTAATCTTAGCTCACTGCAACCTCCACCTCCTGAGTTCAAGCAATTCTCCTGCCTCAGCCCCCTGAGTAGCTGGGACAACAAGTATGCACCATCACATGTGGCTAATTTTTGTATTTTTAGTAGAGACGGGGTTTCACCATGTTGGCTAGGATGGTATCAAACACCTGACCTCAGGTGATGTGCCCACCTCGGCCTCCCAAAGGGCTGGGATTACAGGTATGAGCCACCACGTCTGGTCTCTTTTGGGTTTTTAAGGAGGCTTCATTATGAAGGCATAATTGATTACACCATTGGCCACTGGTGATCGACTCTACCTTCAGCCCCTCTCCTCTTCCCAGAGGACTGGGGTGGGGCTGAAAGTCCCAACCCTCTAATCATGAAGTTTTTCTAGTGACCAGCCTCCATCATGAAGCTATCTAGTGGCTCTGAGCCACCAGTCATCTCATGAACCTAGAAAAAACACTCATTGTTCCAGTGACAGAGCTGTGTGCCGGGAAGTGGGATCAAGACCAAATATATATTTCATGGTATCAAAAGATGGAACTCTATATATGAACATTTGAGAGAGAGAGACACACACATAATATCATCCAGGTAAAGGAGTAGACAGTCTTAATCATTTTAATTAACAATCTACCTGCTTTTTTTTTCTGAGCTCTTACAGAAACACAGCCCTGCACCCCCTCTTTGCTAAAATATGTACATTTCCCCATTATCTACTTAATAAAATCCAAACTCCTAGATGTGTGTTCACATCTGTATTTAAACCTTATATTGTACTACATGTCTTCATGAAGATTTTACCAGAGTGTAACACGCATGATTTTTTAGTAGTTTTTCTGGCTTTCCCCTCCCAATTTCTTAGCTGGGATAGAAGCTGCCCAGAGAGGAGCTTGTCTGCCTTGTTCATGCTGAATTTCCTGAGCTGAGAACATAGCCTGATACATAGCATGCTCTCAAGATTCACTAGACAAATGAATAAATGAGTGAAGAGTTATTGTCCTTACCCTCTGCCTTCTGGCCACATGCCCTCTTAGATAGCCCTTATCTCTTATGAGCTGAATTGTGTTTTCCCCAAAATTCATATGCTGAAGCCCTAACACCTAGTATCTCACAGTTTGACTATATTTGGAAACAGGGCCTTACAGAGGTGATTAAGTTAAAAAGAAGTGGTTTGTTAGGATGCGCTTTCATCCAATTTGACTGGTTTCCTGTAAAAAAAATTTGAAAAGGAGGAAGAGGAAATTTGGACACACAGAAAGATATAAGATGAATGTATACACATAGAGGAAACGCCATGTGAGGAAAGACCACAGTGAGAAGGTCTGCTGCCAACAGACAGGCTTCAGAAGGAGCCAACTCTGCAAACAACTTGGTCTTGGACTTCTAACCTACAGAACTATGAGAAAAGAAATTTATGTTGTTTAAGTCATCCAGTCTATGATATTTTTGTTATATATTTACTTTTGTAAGAGTACTCTGGTAAACCTTTTACACACAATCCTAATAAGAATCCTGTGATGTAGATATTTTTGAGATCCCCATTTTACAGATAAAGAAATGGAAGAATTGAGATGTTAATTAACTTTTTTATGGTCAAACAGCCAGGGTTTGGAATGTAGGCAATTTGATTCACACTGCTCCCTCTACCTGATATACCTTCCCCTTCACTTCTGAATGGTAAATTCTAATCATCTGTAAAGTCAGAGGATACAGCTCTTTTCACTAAATTTCTCCACTTTGGCTTCAAATTTATACTGTGATATTTGCTTTACTTTATGTTTTGTTCCAAATTTGTTGTAGATGCCTGCTCAGGAATCTGCTTAGCTCTCCAGGATGGGGGCCTCACATTATTCGCCATAGCCCTTTGACATTAAACCTAGACCCCTTCTGAAGTGAGAGCCTATTATGGGCTGAATTGGTACCTGGATCCTGATTGCTGACTGATAGGTATCCTGGCTATACACATGCCAATTTACATGTCTATAAAAATTCACTTGTTTCAGAATTCCATGTTCTATTCTCTGTTACATGTGTAGGAATCTCTGCCAGCCTGATATTAATTACATCCCCGAATCATGATTGTTCATATTTCCCTATAGCCTTTATATATAGTGTTCTACTCTTTACATCAACTTTCCCCAGAATCAGAAGTTCAGTCTCCCCTAATGCCCTTAGCTTACTGTGCATAGTCTGTTTCCACGACTCTGCTTATCCTACACATGACTGCTGTTAAGCAGGCAATGTCCAGGCATGACCTGTGATAGTCAATCCTTACATTTCTGTTAATGATTCACTCATTCATTCACACATGCATTCACTTATTTATTTGTTCTTCTGTTTTTCCATCTAACTAGGAACTTTTTATATGCCAGGTATAATGTAGATCAAGGTCAGTTTCCTGATTTGATACTAAAAACATCAACAAGCTTTTAATGCTACTAACAGTCTGCAAAAATATTACCAAATTATCCTACACTAAAATGTAATTTGAAAACATATCACTGATGAGATTCAGTATCTTTCTACTTGTCAACAGGAAGCAATCTAAAAGAAAAACAGTAACAAGTTGCAAACTAAGAAATTAAAACATGTCATGAGGATATGTTAAATGAAGGCTAGTTGTGGTGTGATGATAAGGGACAACTGAAATTTTCGAGGATCTGGAATACTGAAAAAGGAATACTGTGGAAAAAGACAGATTGGTGCTGCTCTGGGACTGCCTATGAGAGAGAAACTCAATCCAGAACTAGGGTGTTAGTGATGGTGACAACTGAATTGAATAATGAGTCCAATTTAGCAAACATTTTTGAGCAACCCCTAAATACTAGACAATTGTAGGATGCAAATGGAAATCAGATATAGTCCTTCTCCTCAAGTAGTGGGGAAAAGAGACACATAAAATCCTAGCTTTACTAGAAGTAGGAGTGAGGCAAGTGTGGCTGTCGGCAATATCAAGCAGCACCTCAGATGTGCTATTATCTGAAGTGATATCAGATGCTGTCAAGATCCAAATTTTCTAGGCTTCCCTCTTAATGAAATGAACATAGTACAATTCCCAGACTTCTGTCTGATAGTAGAAAACAAGAAAGAAAAAAGTGGAGATCAGTGCATTTTGGTGGGTAATACGGGAACTATGCTGGATATTTAATATTTTCCTCTCCCAATCCATTTCATTCTTCTCCACTCTTCTCCCTGCATATAAGTTATACAGTCTATGGTATTTTGTTACAGCAGTACAAACAGATGAAGACACTACATTCTGAATTTAAACAAGTTTCTGCTGTGTCAAAATTGAGACGAGTATGCACTGACTAGCTGATAAAATCGATTCTATTTAATTGGAATGATATTTCTCACTACAAAATAATAAGGTAGTAATATGACTGATAAATCTTTCACATGCACTTAGATTTGTAAATCAACTGGTTAACCTAGAAAACCAATAAAATTAGATTTCTGAACTCTGCACAGATGAAGATGAGACTTCGAAGTAGAAGGGAAATAGGAAACTCAAGTAACTAGCCAACCTTACCCAATCCTACAGGAATAATGCATATTTAGAGTAGCTGGTCTAGTATGGTGATACAGACCTAACCATAATCTAATTACCAGGCTTAGAGTCGAGTCTGCTGCTGCCCATGAAAAATAGTTAAAATAACTAGTCCTTAGAGGATTTCAGGATTGTTAGTACTGTGCTCAGAAATGGATGTCCCTCAGGTTCTAAGGAAACAGGGCTCTGCAGAATTGTAACTACTGGATACAACCACAGGGTTTTAACATTTAAAGATAACACTGGTCAGTCTGATCTACCATCCAGGCAGCCCAGTTAGCCATGGGAAAACCGGAAGTGATTTTCTTAAATACATTTTCTAACAAAGCTTAAACGTGATAGAAATATTGAAATATGGTTTAATTCTCTTGATTGAAAAAGAAAATGTGATCTGTAAATGATTCTATAAACTTTTGACTTAATTTATGCCCAGCGTGTCAAGTATGATTTAGTTAGTCACATCTGCAGTATTTGCAAGTTAACACGTCTATTTTATCCAAAATCATAGCAAAATGAGTTGGATATGTAAAAATATTTGGCAAATGTCACAAGCGGATTCAGTGAGGAAAAGCCTAATTTCTAAGTCACACATGTGTACTCAAGGGTCCTGAGTTGGATGAGCACATATTCTACAAAGAGCTGGACAGTTCTGGTCCTTGTTTTATCATGGGTCAGGAGCACAAAAGTGAACTAAATAACAGAAATCAAAAGGCAAACATTGACACTGGAAGCTCACAAGATTTAGCAAGAAACACATTCTTAAAAGTCATTAAACAATTTTGAAAAGAAATTCAAGCTGCGGGGACTGAGCTCTGAGATCAGAACAATAAGTTCCATGAATTGGAACAGAGGCTTTCTGAACGCAGTTTTGAAGAATGCTTTTCCCAGACAAGCTTCTTTGTGAGGGGGATTTTTTTTTTTTTTTAAACAAACATGCCTAGTTTTGACTCAGTTCAGAAATGAAATATTTCAAAAGTCCTTTCAAGCTCAGTATCTCTAAAATTACTCTTTCAAAGTTACACTTTAAGGGGTACTAGAGGATTGAGATTAAAAGGGATACCAAGTTTGTAAAATTTTCATAGGCATGATAAAGAGGCACAAAAATCCCCACCCACCCCCCAGTAATTTCTTTAGTGTTTTCGATAAAACAAGTAAAATACCAGTTGGAAAGCACGGCACTGTTAACGGGGTTGGGAAAGTGTTTCAAAATTCAGTTTTGACAAAAGAAAGCGTGAAACAAAATTGCTTTTTTTATGGGTTTAGGAGTTTTACAAAGGGAATTTTAATGAGAAATATTTTTATAAGGTTTGTTTTCCATAGTTAATGTCATTGAATATAAAAATATAGAGACCCTTGAGCAACAAAGGTTTTAACTACATGAGTCCACTTATAAATGGATTTTCTTCAATAAATATATTGAAATATGTTTTGAAGTTTGTGACAGTTTGAAAAAGCTCACAAACCATATAGCCCAGAAATACTGAAAAAAAGCTAAGGAAAAGATATATCATAAATGCATAATACATATGTAGATACATCTATTTTATTATCTATTACCATAAAATATACATAAATCTATTATAAATGTTGAAATTTATCAAAAGTTACATTCACACTTAAAGACTGTACATGGTGCTATCAATAGTTGAGAGAAATGTAAACCAATGTAAAGATGAAGTATTAAATCATAACTGCATTAAATTAACAGAACATACTGTACTACTGTAATAATTCTTTAGCCACCTCTTGTGGCTATTGAGGTGAGCTCAAGTGTTTTGAGTATCTACTTAAAATGCGATGGGATCTAACCATCGCCGCATGAGCAGTTCATCTCTCCAGTAAATTGCATATTGCAGTAAAAAGTGATCCTCTGTGGTTCTTGCATATTTTTCATCTTGTTTAGTGCATCTTGAATAATGTTATGGGACCCATATGAAGTGCCACTAGTGATGCTGAAAGTGTTCCCAAGAAGCAGAGAAAAGTCATGACATTACAAAAAAAAGTCTAATTGCTTGCTATGTACCATAGATTGAAATCTGTAGCTGTGGTTGCTGCTATTTCAAGATAAATGAACACAGCATGAAACCATTGTTAAAAAAAAAAAAGAAAAGGAAATTTGTGAAACTGTTGCTGCAGCTAGGCCAGCAGGCATAAAAACTTTGTAGTTTCTGCAAACTACCTTTTAATCTCATATTGAAAAATTCAGCTTTTATGTGGATGTAGGATTGCTATGATTTGAGAAGTTTAGTCACTATATGACAACTTAAAGCAAAAGGAAGGTGATGGATCTAAAGCTGGAGAACTCAATGCCAGCAAAGGATGGTTTGGTGATTTAGAATGTAGTTTGGCTTAAAAAACATCACGATAACAGGAGAAGCAGCTTCTTCAGATGAGTTCACAGATGCCATTAAGAAAATCATTGAGGAGAAAAGATATCTGCCTGAATAGGTTTTTTTTTCCTCTTTTTTTTTTTTCTTATTATACTTTAAGTTCTAGCGTTCATGTGTACAATGTGTAGGTTTGTTATGTATGTACACATGTGCCATGTTGGTGTGCTGCACCCATTAACTCATCATTTACATTAGGTATTTCTCCTAATGCTATCCCTCCTCCCTCCCCATCCCCCATGACAGGCCCCCATGTGTGATGTTCCCCGCCCTGTGTCCAAGTGTTCTCATGGTTCAATTTCCCACCTATGAGTAAGAACATGCGATGTTTGGTTTTCTGTCCTTGTGACAGTTTGCTCAGAATGATAGTTTCAGCTTCATCCAAGTCCCTACAAACGACATGAACTCATCATTTTTTATGGCTGCACAGTATTCCATGGTGTGAATGTGCCACATTTTCTTAATCCAGACTATCATCGATGGACATTTGGGTTGGTTCCAGGTCTTTGCTATTGTGAATAGTGCCACAATGAACATACATGTGCATGTGTCTTTATAGCAGCATGATTTATAATCCTTTGGGTATATACCCAGTAATGGGATGGCTGGGTCAAATGGTATTTCTAGTTCTAGATCCTTGAGGAATCCCCACACAGTCTTCCACAATGGTTGAACTAGTTTACAGTCCCACCAACAGTGTAACAGTGTTCCTATTTCTCTACATCCTCTCCAGCACCTGTTTCCTGACTTTTTAATGGTCGCCATTCTAACTGGTGTGAGATGGTATCTCATTGTGGTTTTGATTTGCATTTCTCTGATGGCCAGTGATGATGAGCATTTTTTCATGTGTCTGTTGGCTGCATAAATGTCTTCTTTTGAGATGTGTCTGTTCATATCCTTCACCTACTTTTTGATGTGGTTGTTTGATTTTTTCTTGTAAATTTGTTTAAGTTCTTTGTAGATTCTGGATATTAGCCCCTGAATCGGTTTTTAATTCAGACAAGTGCCCTATTTTGGAAAAAAAATGCCACAAAGGACACTTATTAGTAAGGAATAGAAGCAAGCATTAGGATTTCAGGCAGAAAGGGATAAGCTAATGCTACTGTTTGTGCAAATGCAGTTGTGTTTATGATCAGGACTGCCCTTACCTATAAAGTTGCTAAGCTACTAGGCTAAAAGGGAAAAGATCAACACTAGCTGCCAGTCTTTTGGTTGTGCAACAGGAAAGCCTGGACAATGAGAACACTTGTTCTGAATTGGTTCCATCAATGCTTTGTCTCTGAAGTCAGGAAGTACCATACCTGTAAGGGACTGTTTTTTTAAAGTTCTTTTGACTTTGAACAATGCCATTAGCCACCTAGAGTACCATGAGTTAAACACTAAAGGTGTTGCAGTAGTCTACATGTGTTGAAGTAGTCTACATAGTTTTTAGGAAAACATGATGTCTCTAATTCAGCCTCTAGATCAGGGGGTTATAAGGATCTTTAAGGCTGATTACACACAGCACTCTACAGACAGCATTGTCAACACTATGCAAGAGAATCCCAGTAGAGAGAATAACGTAAAAGTCTGGATGCATTAGACCACTAAAAATGTCATCATTGTTATAGAGAAGGCTGTGAAAGCCATTAAACCTAAAACAACAAATTCCTGCAGAAACAACTGTGTCCAGATAGGCATGACTTCACAAGATTTATGAAAAAGCCAGTCAAGGAAGTCATAAAAGAGATTATGGATATGGCAAAAAAAAAAAAAAAAAAAAAAAAGACAGCAGGTGAAGGTTTCAATATAGGATCTTGGAGAAATTCAACAGCTCAGTAGACACCTCTATTAAGACGTCTCTAATTAATAGAAAATGAATGGAAGACGACTTGGTGGAGATGTGTGCTTCCAATCAGTGGAAGACGATGAGGAAGAACATGTAGAAGATGCAGTGCCAGAAAACAAATTGACATGAAACAATCTGGCAGAAGGGTTCTGATTACTCAGGACTGCTTTTGAATTCTTTTAGGATATGGGCCCTTCCATGATATGGGCATTGAAACTAAAGCGAACAGTGGAAGAATAATTGGTACCATATAGAAACATTTTAGAGAAATAAAAAGCAAAAACATCAGACAGAAATTATGCATATTTCTGTGAAGTTAACTGAATATGTCTGTTTCTCCTGCCTCCCCTTCTATCTCTTCTACCTCTTCCGCCTCTGCTATCCCTGAGACAGCAACACTCTTCTTCTTTCTCCTCATCCTCTTCCTCAGCCCACTCAGTGTGGAGACAAGGAGGATGAAGGCTTTTATTCCGATCACTTCCACTTAATGGATAGTAAATACATTTTCTTATGATTTTCTTAATAATGTTTTCTTTTCTCTAGCTTTATTGTAAGAATACAGTATATAATGTATGTAACATATCAAATATGTGTTAATCAACTGTTTATGTTATTGGTGTGGTTTCTGGTCAACAGCAAGCTATTAGTAGTTATGCTTCTGAGAAGTCGAGAATTATGTGGATTTTTGACTGCATGGGGGTTGGTGCCCCAACCCCTGTGTTGTTCAGGTGTCAACTGTAGAACCAAAAGTCTGGATGTATTTATTATTTGAACCATACAACAAAAACAATAGAAAGACAAGACTCTCCAAATAAAAAGGAGAAATCATATCAAACTCAGAGTTAACTTACTTAGATGGCTATTAATGGTCTTATCCATACATTTGGTACTTGATTATTTAATCTCAGAGTTGGTTGGCTTGATTTTTATCATGTGCAAAAATGCTAAGTGAGGTAGTTTACATTAAAGAGTCAGACTCAGAAAATAATTTGCCTAGCTTGATTCTGCATGAAAATATGAAGATATTCATGAAGATATATATTTATTTGTATAAACGTAAATATTACAAAAATGAATTAAAGCAAATATTTTCTTGATAAGAAGATATGTGCAAATTATTGATTTTGAATAATTTAATTTCAAAGTTCAAATTTAATTAAAGCTATGCATTAAACCAAAATGGTGTTTGGTTTTAAAGAAATAGATTTAAG